TCTATAGTTATTTTTATAGGATATAACAAAACTTATCTAACAAGTCTATAGTTATGTATATATAGGATATAACAAAACTTATCTAACAAGTCTATAGTTATGTATATAGGATATAACAAACTTATCTAACAAGTGTATAGTTATGTATACTCAATGGGATAAAGTAGCTGGGGGATCAATGGGATAAAGTAGCTGGGGATCAATGGGATAAAGTAGCTGGGGATCAATGGGATAAAGTAGCTGGGGATCAACAGGATAAAGTAGCTGGGATCAATAAGATAAAGTAGCTGGGGATCAATAGGATAAAGTAGCTGGGATCAATAAGATAAAGTAGCTGGGGATCAATAGGATAAAGTAGCTGGGGATCAATGGGATAAAGGCCTCTGATTTCTTTCTGCTGTCTCCAGAAGACAATAGAACACCAAGATTCACAAAAGCGAGACTGGGCTCCATTTAAAACAGTTTTACTTTTTAACGGTTTCAGAAATAAGTTGCTGTTGACAGTAATGGAAGCACTTTATACAATTTTGAGAGTGGAATAATTAATGGTTTTCCAAAAAAAAATAAAGGATGTTTTTGTTCAAATTTTTTAATTTCTTGATGGTGGGTCAGGACAGCCTCGAAGTACCAAATGGCTCTTTGTTATCTCTACGTTATTTATTATCTGAAAGTAGCATTAATAATATGGAAATGATGAATTATACGTGTCTGTTGGTTTAGAGATTTAAGGTATAAAAAGACACAGTTTGAACTATTTTTTGTAGCATATGTGATTTGGCAATAATTTGTTTGAGGAGCTACAAAATGCTATGAATTTGGAGAATTCCATCAGGTGTTCTCCGAGTACTGGGATTAAACGGCTGAAAATACAAAAATGTAGTTACAATCTTGTGGAATTGTTTGCTTGATGACGTAATTGTACTGTTAATATTAATTATTGTCAACGTTTATTGAAAGATACACGTTCTCTATTACCATGAATCGTTTTCAGTTACTTTCAGATAAAACAATGAATCATCCAATAAGAAGTTAACATATAAATCTGTAACATACTTTTGGTACTAAATAAATAATGCATGTTTTTGTGAGTTGGTACACCGTGGTTTAATAATTCATTTAAATTTTGACTAAAAATATTAATTTCTTTACTCATTGCAAATCAATTTATCATTCTAACTGTACAATCAGGTCAAAGCATACTGATCGAAGTTCATTTTACTGGTCAGTGTCAAGCAAACTACTACAAAAATCGTAACTTAAGTTATTCTATGATACATTTTGAATTAAAATTTCAAAAACTATAAAGTAAATTAAGTAATGTAGAGTAAACTCTATGTTCAGCTTTAATTATGTGATGAACTTGATACCAAGTGTTTTCCACACTTAACGGCAAAATAAGCCACCAACGTAGTGATTCATAAATGAAAAAAATTACTTATCTTTACTCAAGCCTTAGAGTTCTCAGTGTTATAGCTCAAAACTAGCACCTTAATCGCACCAGATTTGATTTAAAAAAAGTACTCATTCTAAAATATTACTTTGAAATTTGTTAATTTGTTTATAAGATCTAGATGGAAGGTATGAGATATTAAAATCTTTATCTCCCAGTTAAGGACTACAGTTTCAATACTGGTCGACAGCTTAAAAACTGGTAATAAGTCTTAACACACACATCTTCATCTAACTGAACAAGAGCTAGAATTATTGTAACTCTTTCCTACAATTTAAAAAGCCTAACAAGCCCAATATATGACAATCCCAAGTTCCCTTATCCTCATTCTTCAATTTGGTTCTCACTACGCATCATATTATTTAGCTCACCTCATATATTATCTTACAGCCTTTCACTGGTCCAATTTGTCCAAAGAGCGCTAATATCAACTCCTCTGTAACTGACGGGTCAAGGTTCCCAACGTAACTAAAAAGATTCAAGAAGAAAGCGACACGTTGAAACAACACATGGAAAAACTGCAAGGCGCTAACGTAACGAGTAGCGTTAGGTGAATGACATCCGCAAAACTCTATCAAATATCACTAATTTCTATTATTTTGAATAATACTTACAGGGTAGATGGCTGACTCTCATAAAATTGTTCCTGAAAAAGAAATAAACGAAAGTAAAAACTCGATTAAATAACTCTAAAACAATGAAAAGTTTCAGAAAGTGTGTACCTTATTCGACATCATGGCGTTCATACACACAACGCTCGTATAAAGCGCATGCGTTTATCAGAGCCCTCTACATGAAGCAATCTTGATCTCCCGCCAAAAATATTATTAGGATTTTATCATATTACATAAAACAAAATTTAAGTCATGCGAAAAACTCTAAATACAAACCAGTAGGCTTAGTTTCAAACCCCATCTGTTATCATAAGTTGAAAATGTGAAATATATTCAATGAGTCAGTTCAGACAGTTTTATTTTTTCTCATGGATGGGTGTGCAAATTACTTTTAAAGAATAAAATTGCTCCTTGTTTGTGTGTCCTGTTTAAAACCAGTTAATATAACAACTACTAAAAAGAGTTCTTTACTTTGTCTAATATGGATTAAAGAAAAGTGGTTCATGTATTATTTTAAATTGCGGTAAAATAAACGAGAATACTCCAAAATTTTATATTCTCAACGTTTCATGAAATGAATACATCAAATAACTTTAAAACTAAAATGGATGGGACTGGTCACCGACATTTTGTTGCAAACTTGTTAATATTTAACAAGTATTGTATCGAAAAGTTATAATATTATTCTCTGTATGAGACTAATTCCTCATAACGCCATGCATATTATATATACTAAATAATATATATATATATTATATATATATTATTATTATATATGTATATATAAGAATATATGTATATTCTTCCCCTTCAAACAGGGTATTTGTTTCGCGACATCAATGTCATATCGAAATGTTTTACAAACAGCATAATATGGGTAAACAGCATGAAAATCAAACACTGAATTTTATTTCAATAAATTGCGAAAAACAATAAACGTAGTGTGCGTATGCACGTGTTTTAATTTACACTGCGTATACATATTTAAACTTCAAACTTTACATAAAATCACGTACATAATTACTAATATAAAAGATGAGATAATATGCTAAAATGTGTAAAAAGGTAAGTAAAAAAAATATATATGATTTAACTTTAAGCGAGCATATAACCAAAACATGTATGTATCGTGAGAAGTAAAACTTACAAAAAGTTTACAAAAGAGAAAAATGTGATCGATATTGGAAATTCACGAGACTTCGTCAGAGTTCGGTGGAATTTACTTGAGTGTTCCATAAAAGTTATTTGAAATGCTAGGTGTTGCCGAAGAACACAGATGTTATAAAATTATACTTATTGCAAACATAGGTTAGTTATTTTCCATACAAAAATTAGTATATAAAAAAAATCAATAATAAAAAATGGACTTCCTTTGTCTGTTTTAATACTAAACACCGTGAACTTTCAATAAAGATTTTGATTTAAACCATGCTTGCAACAACTGTGTTAGTCTGATTATCTATTTATTTATTTTATTCACCAAAAGGCGGATTTCAGTAAAGAAAATATGAAGAAGAGTCTAATCCATTCCTTGATTCGCTTTTCCCGCTGCAGCAGACTAGTTTCACCGAATTCACAGCTCCTCTGTGTTGCTTCGAAGAGAAAAGCAAATAAATAAATTAGGCCTAATGTAGTGGTGGAATGTAAGCAGTTTAACTGGTTTATACATATAAACCAAACAAACTGTAAGAACCGGTCGAATTTTACGAAACATCTGCCATTTAAGCATTAATGATCTAAATCTGGGACAAAGTTAAAAAACAACAACATTTTGATATTATCTCTGGTAAAATTGAATCTATTATAAGAATAATTATTACTTTGGAATAAATAGATTTGTGTTCATCTTTCTAGTGTGTGTTTTTTTTTGTTGTTGTTGTTTTTAAGACTGTGATAAGCTGGTATAATCCTGATCAAGGTTGTGATAACCTAGTAATCGAAGATAATCCTGATCAAGGTTGTGGTGATCTGGTAATCGAAGATAATCCTGATCAAGGTTGTGATAAGCTGGTATAATAATAAAAGAAAATTATGAAAGTCGACAAATAAACATTAGTTAAACCAATTTTAAATACATCTTCAAATAAAGCAATATATATATATTTAATAAAGGTTTTTTTGGTTATAAAATACCATATTTGCGGAAAGACATTTAGAGGTTTCTTTAAACTGTAAATAAATAGCTCATTCTGGAGCTTTGCCCTGAAACAAAGAATACGAGACATATAAACTACATTTCTCAATAAATTATGATCAAAGTCTACAAAAACCTGGACTACAAGTTCACACATCAAATCGTGTAGCAATAAATCAAAAACTTATATTGATTAGAGTTTATCGATTCATCATTTGGCAATGAGAGAGAGAGAGATTTCACACTTCTCGCCCTGCCGCACATTTTTGGTTTCAACAAACTGAGAAAATGCCCCTATATCTCCATTATAAAAAAAAAAAAATGTTCAGAGTGATCCAGAATCCGGACCAGATTTAGGACACTCCATCTCCTGTAAAAATTTCACGTAAATTGATTTATTATTTTTCGAGATACGCGGACCAGAATGCAATACCCTTGCACCCACGTGAATTATATCAATAACTTTTTTTTGTGTGTTCTTTAACTTCTTAATTAAAATTTTCTCCTTTTTTTTTCACTTAAATACAAATAAAAGTATCATCTAAAAACAATCTGAGTTTTATTTTTTTATGTTGTACTAAATTGCCTCGGGAATGAAAAGGATAGAAATCAAAGAAAATATACTACAAACTAAATCAGTAATAAATGTTTGTTTTTGTTTTTTTAGTAATAAAACTCTTCGGATAATATTAATCATGTAATCAGAGAATTTTTTTTTTTGCTCAATCATTTCTAAACTATATATTTTTCCAGAACTTCTGTCATTTGTGTTTCAGTTCAAATAAAATGAATCTCTTTGTGAACATATAAAGTTGTTTCTCTTTAACCTTTCCAGTTCGATATAAAAAATAAAAAAAAACAGAAAGACGTCGAATTCCAAACATTAAAGTGACAAAGTGGAAGATTCGCAAGCTTAAAAAGATAAATCGCTTTGGAAAATTTAATTTAAATCAATCCGGGATCTTATGACTTGAATCGAGAAATCATGCATCTTCGGAAAGAGGCTTAATGCACTTCTACAAGGAACTTACTTTAGAGCATTAGATTTAATTTCTTTTTAAATATCTGTCGTTTTTTTGTTTGTTTTTTTTTAAGGAGAAGTAAACACAAGAAATAAGCTCATCTGGTTCAATCTCGTTTTAAGCTATTTACGTACTTCTTAATGAAAAGAAAAGTACCTTCTCACTAATTCGGTTCTATATCTTTGTTAATATTTTTCTAGTGCAACAAATCAGGGCAGACGATTCGAAGTAAAGGCACGTGATAAATAGGATAGAAAGAAAGAGAGACTGTAAACCTGCTCTTCCATCATTTAATTTTTTTCTTCACTAATCTTACTCTTCTACAGAAACGGTGAATTAGATTGAAGATAACTTTTAATAAGTGGACTTAGTTTTAAATACCTATATATATAGAATGAACACAGACAGCCCTCCCCAGTTATTAGCTTAACACACAACGTCAGGAAAATTTCTACTCAGTTTTTGCATATAAATGAGATTTATTTGTGAGGTTTAATAGCTTTACGTTGTGATATTTTCAGAAACTCGAGCTTCAATCGATATTAATAGTATACGGCACGCCCCCTGGCGTCAATAAGATGTTTTTTTTCGCGTATATAAAACAGATTGACTTATCTTGGCAAGATTCACGTGACTTTAAATTCAGTTTTTAATATACTTTTTTGAGGGGTGGATGAATGGGAAAGTGGAAGAGGAGACTCTAGATGAATAAATTTGGCTTAGTAATAAGACAAAGCAGTTAGGTTATATTTCATCGTGTGACATGTGTAGGAGTTATATATATATATATATATACAAGAAAAAAAGAGTCGTATATATAAAAAATTTAAATACTCTAGACTCCAGATCAGAGGTTTACAATTTGAGGTCAGGGAGCACCCTTGAGGTTGTCAGTGGGAGGGAAGAGGCAGCATAGATCCCATTGTGGTCCACCGAGATAAAAAGAAAAAAAATCAGATGGTCTGCGGACAAACACTGAGAACCACAGCTCTCGAGAAAGGAAATGATGTCTAATCTTTTCTGTCTGTCCCTTCGAGAGCTTGTTATTAGCGTGTTCGTACTTTGAATCCGGATATATATATCATTTGCAACCAGTCTTTGGGGTCATGGTGGTAGCGCTATAAAATGTGTGGTAAGATTGCACTAATCGATGAGATAAGAGTACCCTAAGAGTTGGTGGTAGTTACTTTCCCGCTAATCTACCAGTTTACAATTAGGGTCGTTTATGCCGTTCCTTACTTTTGCATCGTACTCTGAAACAAACTGTTTCTTCGATTATATATTTTTTTCTCTTACATTCTTTATCTAAGTATCTATGCATATTACGTTAGCGAGCTTATCCAACGTTCAAGAACCTACGATTCATTCATATCAATCAATTTTACAAGATATGCAGGGCCTCGTGGTTAGGTCGCAGGTTAGAATCCCCGTCGCCGAACGTGCTCGCCCTTTGAGCCGCGAGGGCGTTATAATTTTATGGTCAATCCCACTATTCGTTGATAAAAAAGTAGCCGAAGAGTTGGCGGTGGGTGGTGTTGACTAGTTGTCTTCCCTCTAGTCTATCACTGCTAAATTAGGGACAGCTAGCGCAGGTATCCCTCGTGTAGCTTTGCGCGAAATTAAGAAAAACACCAAACTATTTCATTAGTCCAACTTTCCATCGGTTTATATTGTTTAATTAGTCTAACTGTCCTTCAATCTGTTTTGTTTTCACTATTTAATTAGTCTAACTTTCCATTGATCTATTTTGTTTATTCTGTTTAATTAGTCTAACTTTCTATTGATCTATTTTGTTTATTCTAACTGGTGCTGACTGGTTGCCTTTTCTGTGGTCATCAGTTTTGTATTAATGATGGCTATCTGCCTAAACCTCGGAGTCTCTGAGCTGACCGTTTGACCCCTCGGTTGTACGAGGTTCCGTTCATGTTGAAAAAAAAAACTAACAGCACTTGTTTGTTTGAAGTTAAGCACACAGCTACACAATGGGCCATCTGTGCTCTACCAATCACGGGTAT